CTGAACTGATTTAAGTCTGTTTGCTCTGCTACTGTTCTTTTTATAGCATCTGTAACATTAGTTTCTGCTTAAGTAACTGTTTGCTGATGGACAATAGACCACCAGCTAATCCCAGAAAGAACAAAGAAAGATATTGCATAATCAATATTCAGGTACAGATTTATTGATTCTTAGTTTTTTCTTCCTGCCATTGACTCAAGCAACTGCACAACATCTCCAGCCAGACCACTAAAATTATAACAATCTCAAAAAGTAACTAGGGGTGGGTTCATTCTATATTTAGAGAAGAGATTTTCAGAAAGATGTCATGATGTTCTTCAAAATACTATAAACTCCCTTATATGGACACATTCTCCTCTTAATATCTTCACAAAATGAATGAGTAAGGAGGAATTTAAATTAAGGTCTTACATATTTTACTAATAGATTGTGTCAATATACTCTGCCACTAATACCAAATACCAGATATTTCTCCTACTGGAAAAACCTCATTGTTACATTTGTGGATTCCTCTCTGTCATTCTGAAAACATCGGTACTTATTTCACCAGCCAGTCACCAAATCAGTATGAAGCTCTGAATGTTTCAATGATTTTGCATAAGTAGTTACAGTACAAACTGTCTGGTCATTCACAAAAAAACCCAGTGATTATCTATTTCTTATCTCTTATTCAATTCAGGTTATAAATTGAGATAAATGAAGAGTCTGTTTGTTGTTAAGGTTCTCATGCATGATGGTCTACTGCTGAAAAATACAAGAATCCAAGAGTGAAACCAACTAGTCCATAGCATTCAGGAACTTGAATGGAAAGAGGATCCAGATTTTATTTAAACCAAAGGAGAAATATCATATGAATCATATAAGGAACCCAAAAGCACAAGAAGACAAATATTACACTATTCCAAATCTGACTGTGTAAATAAGTAATACAGAGAAATATGGGAATGAAAACAGAACAAATACAAACAGAAAATAGAATATATAGGTACTAATTGAAATTAAAAAAAAAAAAAGAAACTGGGAAGGTTTGCACTTCTATGCTTCCTATTCATTGCTTGTGAGTCAGACCATGGAAATTGCTTCCATCCCATAAATTAAAAAGATTAAGAATAGAAGAATCAGTGGTAATATGCAACAAGAGTAGGAAGGTATCTATTTAAATTAACATTTTCCTCATTTTTCTATGAATCTGGTGATGAAGCTGCTGCTGCTGCTGCTGCTGATGATGATGATGATGAAAACACTGCTAAGGTGATGAGTGTGTGAATATTATCCATTATAATGGATATTACTGCAACCGTGATAGATCCAAAATATGAAGATCTTATAATATCCAAAGTAGAGGAACAAAGCCTTTTTATTCCAGAATTCAGAGCAAAATGAAACATAGAATTGCAGACTTCACAGCCAGATTTTGTAGTATTTTTTTTTATTTTTTATTTCCTGGGTTGTTTCATATCAGTGGGGAATAGAAGATAAGGTGGGATAAGGAGGGCAGAATGACAACCCATTAGTCTGATAAATAATAATATTCAAGGCTTCTTCTGAAAGGCATTTTGAAAGAAAGAATAAGATATTGCCAGTCTAACCTGATAGAAAGCATTGAAGAATGATTGATTTTCTAGATGGGAAAAGAGAACAGATCTTATCAGTCTGATACCACACAGGAATTGTTAGTTAAGAAGAGGAGAAAAAAGGGATTAATCTGGGAATTATAAAGTGGAGAAGGGACTAAAGGAGGGGTGACAATAGGAGTAAAGAACAGGAATGAACTCAGGTAGAGGAAAGCTGCAACTGCAGTTCCTCAGTGATTGGTCTCTTGAGTGGTTTCGTTAATGTTTTCTTTAATAACCTTGAAAAGGAATATGATACTGAGTTAAATGAAATATGTTACTTGTTAGGAAAATTGGGATATCATGCAGAAAGAATTGGATGACCCTGAGTAGTGGAAAAATAGGAGCAGAATGAAATTCACTAGTAAGAAATATATGGTTGTGCATTCAGGAATTAATAACAACATTTTTTCAGTAAATCAGAAATTCATTATGTGGAAATGACTGAGGAAGAAAATCTGTCTCTACATGTCACAGAAAACTATGTACCATCACAAAGTATGACCATGCAAAAGAAAAATGTGATCCTACAAAGTATCATTTGATGTGTTTTCAGAGGAGACATGTGGGAATCAATGACGCTGTACAAGGCAAAAGTGAAATGTCAGGAAAAACAATGTATGATTGAAAAACAATGTATGAAAAACAATTCTGATCAAATACAATCAAAAAAAGACATTGAAACTGGAATAGGTTGGAGAAAGGTGCATAAGATCAGGAGCAAACCTTCTTATAAAAAGAAAATGTTATTGGGTATTTATTAATTTAGTCAAAGAAAAGAAGGACAAGAAGAACTGGAAACATATGCAAGGTGTGAACACCAAAAAAAAAAAAAAAAGGTTTAATGCTTTAAGTGATAATGGCGATTTAGGATTTAAACAGAACAAAAGACAATTAGCCAGGTCATGAATAGACATAGACAAAAAGGATAATAAGATTTCTGACTTAAGAACAATGATTTATTTACAGAAAGATCACAACTACAGAAAATCTGACCTATTTTTAAAGTGGAATTTGTTTAATTTATTAAAAGTATTATGTGTTATAGATACCTGTAATATCAGAAACTGAACTACATTTCAAAAATTAATTTTATTCTAGTCCTATGTTCCTAAGTGTGTGCTGACTTACCAGTGAGACAGACTTATCACCAGCTAATGTAAATCAAAATGACAGATTTCAGCCCTTGGTTGTACTGCCAGAGGAAATCACTAATCAACATCAGCAGCACATGGTATATACAACTTTTCATTGAATTAGATATTGCATGTCAATTGGAGTAGGAAATCTTTGTTATGTTAGGATATTTGCAATTTTTATTTATATAATTTTTTTTTAAAAAAAAGGCTTTTATTTCTCTGCATTTAGGGTCATTGTGCTGTTGTATGACCCTTCTAATTTTTAACAGGTAGGTGTATAGAGTAGGTTAGTAACTGGCATGATTACAGGTGTGAAGAGTCTGTCACAACATAGTGTTTCAGGACTTTCCAGGCACTCCAGTTAGAGCTATGTATGACCCTTTAGGAAGGTAGGAGCCATCTGTTTCTAATGGGATAAAGCTTCTGTTTCTAACCCTGCAGGGCTGCAAGATATTGAACTTACATTTTTACATTTAAGGCAGAGTGCATTTCGAAAGGAAGTGGGGGAGAAAGACAGAAGCATTTCTCTGGCAGTTATTGCTTGAAGTGACTCTGAGTTTGAGAATGGCAGAAATAATCCATGAAGAAACGATACAATGCAGGAGAGAAAAAAACGTTATATTAGCTTAATATATTGCAGTCCTCCAAAATCAGGACATAGATAACTCATGACATGTTTATCACTCACAGAGCTGATTTAACAGTCTATTCAGTAGAAGAAAACTGGTTTTAGACTTTGTGAATTCATGGGGACAGTGTGACAAAACATTCAGATATCTGTAGGTAATTAGGTCATGAGGACTGAAAAAGATACGCTTAACTTAGAATTCTTAGTAGAATTTTCAAAGGAAAAAGCTGACTGTGTAAAAAACCAGTAGGATCTCTATTAACTAGAGAATGAAATTAAGTGAGTCAAAAAGGTAAATCAAAAAGGTAAAGAAAAGCAATGTAAAATGCTATTTCCCTCTATTGATGCTTCAGCATAAAATGAAGAGGAATCCAGTTGCCCAAAGGTGATGAAGGCCTTCTTCTCTAAAAATTTGAAGAACTTTCAGGTTCTTGCAGGGGATGTTTCAGAGATACCTGAATTCCCTGCACCTACTGTGGTGTGAGGTGGTGTCTCTTGGAGAGGGATATGCTGTATGCTTCACTTCAGATCCTGCTGTAGGTGAGAGCTTTTGCTGGCGATGTTCTATATGCTACTAATATTCTATACTGGCAAAATACAGACAAAAAGATGCCTCCTTCCATCAAGTCATCCTGAAATTAGGATTTAGCTCTCCTCACCTCCTTTCCTCAGAATTCAAGAACAAAGGGGAAACATTAATTACCTTCATCATTTGTGATCCCTCTTGCTCACAGCTGCCTTTGCCAAAATGCTGGCCCTTTATACTGAAACTTAGCTGTAAGGACAGCCTTAAAGATGAAGCAGGATACCAGTCTCAGAGTAGGGACAATGATTTCATTTTCATCTAGTTCCTTTCTTACCAGATAAATACCAGTCTTCCTTTGCTCTTGCCCCATAACTCTTAACTGCTTGATTGTAAACAGAGTGTTCCAAAGCTCCACAGACCTGAGAGTCTGGACACTTTGTCAACATGTAACTGTTCAGTCCTCTCTTGCTGAGAAGCTTAGGACGCAGAACAGGATTCTACCACTAGTCTATATCAACCCTTTACAGAAAAAAAAAAAAAAAAGAAATCCCAATCAACAGACAGCATGCCAGAGGATGCTAAATATAATCTCATAGTTCATATTTGTCAAGCTTCTCTAAAGGCCTTGACAGAATTCAGGTGTCTATTTGCACTGCCTGGTGTGAATGCAATTCATATGTCTGGGCAATTAAAATTAAGCACCCAGGAGGCTTTAATCTAAGAATGAAAATACTGTATTTAAATGCCTTAGGAATTACACTATTTCAAAAAGTACAAGAGTATTGGATTTATTTTAGATAGCAGGATGGACTTAAGGCAAAGTGTATGTCACCATGAATTCGTAGACTTGGATTTTCAAAAAAACTGCAAAAAGGTGCACGTTAAGAATGGATCGTAAAAGTAAGTTGACAGGTTGCATGTTTCTCGCATAGTAATGAAGTCCTGTGAATAGGCTTTATTCACTATAGAAACAACAGAATTTTATCTAACATAACTTTGTTTTATTAAGAAAAATATAATATTGTGTATCTTTACATGTGTACACATACATATCAGTAATAATACACTTTTACGACATAAGTTTAAGAGCCAAATTACCTATATAGTTTATTTACTAAGCAGTTAAGAGAAATCTACTTTAATAACTTCTATTTTTAAATACAAGGCAACTAGGAATGGATTAATGAGGCCTAATACTATGAAAAGAAAATTAATGATACATGTGGAGATAATACTTCACAGCACAAGCCGGTAGGGGACTATTCTCCACTAGAAGCCCGAGTTCTGTGAAGATGCAATGATCAAGTGAATGCAGCATAATATTAGCAGATAGTTACAGCTTGCAGGACTGTGGAAATTCTGTTTTCTAACAGGATGTTATAGGCAGATATTGGCAAGTTCAGCCAAACACGTTTGGTCCTGCTGAAACCCCTGAGATAATCATCTTCCCCAAACATCAAAACAATAATATGCAAGGTTACAAGAACAACAAAATTGTTTGAAATGTGGAATTCCTGCACTAAATGAAATTAAAAGAGCCTATTCTAGTAGGTCCCAACCTTGTAAAGAGTTCACATTCCTATGTTTAGCTGTGTGAATAGTCATATTGATTTCATATTCAAAAGTCTTCATGGGATTAAGGTTTAAATTGGGGTCAGATGTCTCTGGTCACTTTTGTTGCCCTTCTTGAACTCCAAGATACTACTCACATGCTCAAAATTAGATGTTTGCAAGGTTGGAGTCTCAGTCTGGAAACAACAAAAGTAAAAGCAGATACAATAGAGAAGTAATTTTTCATGGTGCAATGATTAAAAAAAAATAAAAAGCTTCTTTTTATATCCAATTATGAAGATACTTACAATGAGTTGCATAACAAGTCTTGGTGAATAGTCCCCCAGGAGCATATTTCCTGATACCAGTCTGGGTTCTGTCTCCTAAGATTTAGAAAAGGAAATTGGGATAGGCTTGTAGCAGAGATTAGCATGATAGTCTTCAGGCACATGACTACTTAAAAAGTTTAATAACTCCAAATTCTATGCAGTAGTTGAAGATGTGTATGTTTCACATGCCCAAAGAAATCAGGGCACCTAAAAGAGGACACAAAGCCAAAATGAAGTGGCTAAATCTCTGGCAGCCTGAACTACTCTAATTGCTGGTCTTGCTTTTTTCTACACTGTTGGTTAGGATTTTGAGTTCCCTACTTCCCCAGCTCTGGTGTTGCTTCATTATTGGCCTTATGAAGGTGCTTCAGTGCACTGATCAGTCTCTTCCATTGTCTAGTTTTCTGTAGATATATTGAGTTGAGGTAATGAAGAAAGAGTCCAACAAGTACCGTAACCTTTCAAAGGAAATCATAGGAATATCTGATCATGGGAAAGAAAATGGTACACAAAATTTTCCAGTAATGGACTTGGAATATCACAAGACACTTGAAGAGCTCTATTTCATCAGAAACTCCTAAAAGATATACTCTTCCAAGGACAAATAACCTTAAGCATTACCGTTAAGATTTGTGCCTTTAATATAGAAGATTTCCCTCTTTGCCTTCTTTATCTCACCTAAAGAACTAATGATATAGTAAAGAATATGTAATTCTCACTCCCTGCTTTCCCTTTCCCTTCCTCCTTTACTAAAGCAGTATAAACAATTATCTGCTATGCAAATGGAAACCACTTGGTTAAAGAGGGGGGAACACTTACATTTCTACCTGATTAAGCCATTTCACTATTTCTGGACCATTTATATTTCCTCAAGAAGGGGGTGATCCCACATTCCAGGTGAGTGCTCTAACTGGCAGGCTGGCAAATTGTTCTACTCTACCTCTGGCTCCTCTGTTATTCAATTATTTCCTGGTAAATGAGGAAGAAGAGGCTGAGAAATTCCCATCCTGGAATACCTTATCAATGGTACCCTCAGGCAGCTTGGGTTCAGTCAGAAAAAAATTCAAAATTAGGTCCCTCACATCTCACCAACCACTGAATTGGCCCTTCAATGTTACAGCAGCTTTGCCTTTCTTACAGTCTGGCTACACTGTGGATCTATCCAAGTAAAACTGTTCTGGAAATACTTGTTTTATTAATCAAGCTGAGATTTAAGCAGGATCTTGGCACTTCACTCTTTAATGCTAACAGAATTAAACTATTGTGCATGACAGGATTAAATAGCTAGGAGAACTTCACTAATGGGAATTTAGGTGCTCAAGGGCTTTAACATTGGCTCCTGCACTAAGTCATGAGGTGGAGGGCTGGGAAACCCAGTAATGCTATGGAGAAAGGTGTGCTTTATCACTAAGGAATTAAATCCTTGGAGTGTGCATCAATGTTTCATCTGGAGAGCAACCCCTTTTCTCAGGAATATAATTAATAAAACACAATATTGCATCCTATTTTTTGTCAAATTATATTGAATAATCAAATAGAGATGACAGGTATGACTGAGTTCGGCTTGCAATTTTCTTTATCTAGTGTACATAGAAGAACTACTTCAATGGCTTGGACTATAAAACAACCACTGATCTGTACTTACAGAGAAATTTTTTCTGTATGTGTGGTGATGCAAAATCACTGGGGTTACTTTCTCTCTCCCTGAGCAGTTTTACTGAAAGTTCTGCTATGTTTCTTCTGTTATACTTTTGAAATCAGTATCGCCATTTAGATGGGTACATCTTCTGCATTGCTTTCCCAAGTATGAACTAACAAAGAAACAGGCAAGGAAATTGTAAGTTATGCTTTAAAAAATGAACTGAGAATTTAAGGAAATAATCAGCATACTTGGATTTTGGTAAGGTGCTTGTCTATTCATTTTACTGGCATTCAAATAAACACCAAATACAAGTAATTGAGAAACAAAGATTTCCAGAGAGTTTGTGAAAAGTAAACACAGAAGTCATGTAAGCACTTTTGAAAATCTCAATGCATGGATGGGATTCATCCTTCTTAGTGCAGCTATGTAAGAGCTAGCCTAGTCTAAGTAATGTGTCAGGGCTCCTTGTCTAATCATTGAAGAGCAAGAAGCATATCCAGAAGGCAACTTTTCTCATTTCTAAGTCTCCATGGAAGGAGAGGAGTATTCCAAGAAGTCTAATTTTTATTTGATCTTTCTTAGATAAGTCCTACATTTAACTTTCTATAACACTCAATTCTTGTCAAGATTAAGGGGATGGATGTTTTCTGACTTGTTAAAAACTAATGACCAAAACTCAAGTGTGTTTAATTCCCTTCTACCTCATTCCTCTGTCCAGACTCCCACTGGTACAGACGCCTGACACACTGCCATTGTGCTAAATCAAAAGTTTGTCAGGTTTAGAAATGATTATTGTAGGAAGTGGGGAGTCCACACTTGTTAAAAGTTCAAAGATGACATTAGGCTGACATCCCTAATTTTCTGGGGTTTTTTTTCCCCAATGTATAACAAGATCCATAGTGTATGTAGTGTATATACAGCATTTAAAAATAAAACAAAGTTAACATTAATTTTCATTAATGTATTATTTTACATTTAAGAAAACTGCATATATGTTATATATAATGCTAATTTTTTGCTGTGTATTTAAAATGTATTTTTCTCAAACTATTCCTCCAAGTTTTTCAGCCCAAAGCAAAATAACAGCCTACATATACTGACTGATAATCAAAAATATTTACAGGTGTTCCTCATCACATTCATGCATTGGTTAAAAGCATCCTTTAAAGCATTTCTAAAGCTTTGTAACCAGTGCAAATACTTAGTAATAAGTATTTTTGTATAACACAAAACACTCTCTGGCACTTTGTAATAGCTTTTTCAATCTGTATTTCCTTTGTGCTCACAGCTTCCCAGCACTGTTATTTGTGTATATGGTTATATCTGAATCTGGATGCAGCTGTGTGCAGGATTCAGCTGACGGTAGCACAAAATGTATCCTTTCCAGATTCAGCTGTGACAGAAAGAAGCTCAGATTTCTTTAGCAGCTTCACCAGCCCAAGTCAAAAGAGACTTGAATGCAGTCAATGAGGTGACTTTGCATTCCCTATGGTCTAAGTAGTATATTTAGCATAGAACTGAAAAACTATATTAGCTGAGCCACTGGAATCAGGTAACAGAGGATCCAGGAATGAGAAAATCTGGGGATAAAAATTAATGCTATCTGTCTGTATGCTTATTTAGTTCATGTGGAAGCAAAGCAGCTCCATCCTTTTTGCTATTTTTATTATGATTTTGCGCAACCTCATGGATGCCTACACTTGTGTTATATTCATTTTTTTAATTTACATTCTCAGCAAACCTTAAATAAGATCAGACTTTGTTCCTTATAGAAAACCCTCATCTGACCTGGGAAAAAAAAAAAAAGAAAAAAAAGAAAAAAAACCCCACTTTCATTTTACCAATTAATGTTATTTATTATTATTGCTATTCCCTGTCAAATCCCATCTTGCTGGTTTCTTTCACCCTGACTGAATTTCCTCCCCACCCTTGCAGAACTGCCTGCTGGCTGCCTATCACAGGCAGGCTGAAACACCTGGGTGCTGGTCCTGCACAGCTGTACACATGCCACTGCCCAGCCGTCTGCAGAGCAGCCCATATGGCAATTTCTGCCGTAGAGTGGGCTGACAGGCAGCTCCATCCGAGAGGGAATGTTTATTCTATAATTAGAAAACATTGCATTAGGATTGGTTACAATGAGGGCACTATCAAGCCTCTGCCCCAGCTCAGTCTTTATCCCAAGTTCAAGGATATTTTCTTTACTGGTTTGTTTGTAGGAAGTGGTTTTGTTTATTTTTTCAGTTTCTGTACCTTTGCCTGCCACCTGTGAGACAAAGTACCAAAATGCCATTACAGTGGCTGTTTTTGCCATGTTTATTCTGAGTCTGCAAATAGAATGCATTGAAAATTCCATTTCAGAATTCACTTTAGTGAGTTTAATTCTACTTCAGCCCAGGTAATTGGGAGGGATGCTATTGTCTGGAGTCAAGAGGAAGAAAAAAAAGAAAACTGTAACATCAATAATATGTGCAGTTTAGATGGCTCAGAAAAAAAGTCAGGTATGAGACAATGGCTTAACAGCAAATCTAATACCCTTACAAGTTTGTGGGGTCTTCCCCTCTTGCCGTTTTGTATACAACATAAACAACAGTGTGGAACTACAAACATCATCAGAGACACTTTGGGATATGGTGGGGAGAAAGGGACTGAGACATTGGGAGAAAGAAGAAGGGGGAGAAAATGTCAGCTGATGTAAATATGCACAGCTTCAAAATGGTTGCAATGATGATTTCAGTCAGATAAATTAACCTTGTATTTCCTATGAATACTCACATTGCTGAATTATATTTTTCTTCACTTCCTCCTCCTGTTTTCTTTCTGAATTTTCACCATTGATTTACCACATAAGAATTGCAATTTGACTGTTTATTATATTAGAGACAGCACAACATTTTAAACCTACATAGTTATGGGCACAAGAAGGTTTCTCATCAAAAGAGATCTGCAAGCAACGTTTTCCCCTCCTCCAGCTCAATTAAGGAACAACATGTTTTTCCTCTCAGTGCTTGCCTTTTATCTATTCCTCTTCTCATGTTTCTCTGTTATTTTTTATCCTTCATGGCATAGCAGTGGTACTGAATGCTGATGAGATAATGCTGATAATACTAAATTTAACCCCATGAACTCCTTTCCCTAATTTCTTCAAGAACTAGAAATATGACCTGAACTTTTTGAGATTCCCTGGTAGCCCACTGAGCTGATACAGATGTCACAACATTCCAACTTTCTCCAGGACCATTGAATACGGAATAGTTCCTGGAGACAGAAGCATTTGGGAAGCAACATACTCTGTGTCAAAAGAAACTGCTAGATATGTGAGTTTTTGATGGTTTCTTATTTAGTTTGCTCTTAAAAAAAGGTGAGACTTGTTTCCAAGACAATCATTATTCCATTCAAATTCTTTCTATCACTATTTTACACACACACACAAAAAAATGAGAGCCTGTATCAGAAAATATTGGATTATTTTTCTGAATATAATTTTTATACCCACTGGAACTAAAGAGAAATTTCCTATATTTGAATTTGTTTAGCTTTTATAATATTCGAATATGGATATTTGAAAAGTGCAAAATATAATGGAATTTTTTTCTTTTTTTTTACAACAAAATGAAAATGACAGAATTCTTGCTTAGTTGCTGATACTGTAAGTAATATATTTTGTAAGCATTCAGATTTGGTAATATTACTTAATTTAGAAGTTCTACTTTAATTGTATTTCTGAAAATTTGAAAGTTGGTAGAGTGAAAGAATTCCTTTCGTGTTAGGAATAAGTACATTAATTCCACTGTAATGTTTTTGCTATTATAATACATACACTTTCTGCAATGACTGCTATAAACGATAATTTTCTCCATGCCATTGAAATTTATGTATTAATTTCAAAAAAACATTAATTAAAACACACATAATAATGAATGAAAAGTTAAGCAGGCTTTTTTTGTTTCTTGCAGAAGAGTGAAGAATGCTTTTTTGCACTGTGATGTTTTCTTCATTTTCTAACAAGCATTGATTGCAAGTTAATATGTGTTATCAAAGTTTTCATGAGCAGGGGGAAAGAAAGAAAGATGGGGTAATTTGAATTGTCAAGATAATATGAAACTGAGGTTTTAGTCTTCATTGAAAATTATCTGAGCAGAATGGTTTATAATTTTTCTTTTAATCTTTATTTTTTTAAGATTACTGAAATACAGATCAAGAAAAAGCATAGGTAAAATAATTGGAAAATTTTCAATGGTGAGAAAAACACCAAACCACCACATCAAAATACTTTTTTTTTCCAGGCTCTCAGAGTCTCTTACCATTCTACTTTGTTTTATTTTCTCAAATATCTCTGCAAATATGAACTCTTGCATCTTTTAGACATGTTTCTAGTGCTATATATCATAATTAACCTTGTGAATTTGCTCACAAGTTCACAAACCACTGGGCTAAGAAGTACATCAAAACATAGAAGAGTAAATTAAATTTATAAGTTGTAACACTGCTGGATGCATTGGTTATCTGAATGTCCCTTAATAGCATTATTGTACCAGATAACCATCATCTGGTAGGAAGTGATACCATTGAACATACTGCTACAGCCTTCCCAGTTTTCTTAGTCACTATTGCAGAAAATCCTTCTGAACCTCCTTACATTGTATCTCAGCTTATGAAAATATTTGTTAACAGAAAAAAATATGTGGACATAATTGTTTGTTAATGGGGAGCCCAGTCATTTTTCAGCGTCCTTTTTGGAAGCAGTGGGAGCACTGCACTTGCTGAGGAGTCTCACTCCTGACAGCAAGGCTTATTGCCAGGTAGAAACCACCATCCCAACTAATGACACAGGATATTGTCTTCAGATACACTGATGACAGATTGAAATCTAATGGTCTACAGGTGATAATGTGATAAAAATAACCTGGATACATAGCAAAACTTTGTGTAGATACTGACAGCCACTGTGTCAGCAAGGGAGACAGGAAGGGAGGCCTTCAACACCAAAATATGTATACACATATACACACACACACACACACACATATATATAAATTTCTTTTTAAAACTACAGACAAGGTCCTTTCTAACAATACTAACAGTGTATGATAATGCGAATTCTGACACCTCTGTATAATTAATTTATGTTGTACAGATGTTAGAGAAACTCAACCAGCCATATAGAAATAATGGATCTTTGGAGAATGGAACAAGTAATTGTAGTTGTATTTGCCAGTGAAAGACTAGAGAAACAGTTATTTTTTAGAATGAATTTAAACTTTCAGTTTTAAAAAAAGGATGCCTGGCACCTAATAATTAGCAAACCAGAATCTATGCACCAAATTATTATAATGTACATATTCATTTCATTAGATTCACACCACCGTGTGGTGTAAAGCGGGAATAATTAAACACCAGATGGTGGTGCAAACTCCAATAGCGAGAGCTTATGCATAATGCATGAGAATGGGATTTACTGTTGTTTTTATCCATTTGGAGCCATTATGCTACTCTTGGACCCCAAACAATGTCTCAGAGAAAAAGATCTCTCTGTATTAAGCATTCCTCTATACTGAACAATTTGTTCATTTGCCTTGTCATATCCTCATCAGTTATCTTCCTGCTCAACTTCCAGAATTTCCGAGAACACATTATTTTCTGGCAGCACTCACAAAACTCCTGAGCTTTTCCATCATACAGAAGCACCCGCGCTTACGGGATATCATTTTATGTTTCTGCCAGCAGTATAAAGTTTAAGATTAGGACCTTTGGAAATTGAATCTGATTTTTAATGATTGTAGTGTCACATTTCCAGCCTGAAATACTTTTAAAATGTCATTAACTGATGTACCATTAATCATTTAGAATTTTTTGACCATTAAAATATCTTTCTTTTTTCATTAAAGAAGTAATGAATATGAAAGTGAAGTGGAGACAGGATATATAGTATATTAATGGCTGGCATGGAGAGCAGATTAGTATGCTAAATTCTCCTTCAGTCATGACATTCTCACTTAGGTGTTTATACTGCTCTTGAGTAAAACATTGACAGTGAGAAAAAACAAATGAGTAGTTCACCCCCTAATCAGTCCTGGCAAAGGCAAACAATGAAGTTAACCTCTGACCACTATCAAATCAGGAGTCAAAATCAGGAAGGTTAGAAATAAAGGTATCCTTTTTTAGCTTCTGCATGAGAAAACATATTCTTGATAAATACTTTTTCGTGCCTGCAACATTCACAGAAGTCACCATCCTCCCCTCACAACAGAACTTCACTTGGCTCCTTCTGTGCTAATGAATGAAAGACATGGGACTTATAGCTTAGTTGCTGCTATTTAGTCTTGCTTGCCTGCATCTTAAAGTTCCCCTTACCTTCCAGTACCCTGTCTCTCTGTCCAGAAAATGGGAATCAGGATGCCAGAAGGTCCAGCTGTTTCACAGATATAGCAGCTACATGCAATCACAACAATTCTGCTGTTATTATTTCTCAGCAAGCCTTGTGAAAGATGTGTGCCTTCCAGCACCTTTTTGAAATATGAGTAGCTCCATGTCTGGATGACACAGCACACACCCAGAAAATATATGGCAGTGAAATAGGGGTAGTTGTAGGAAATTTGTTGTCAGTCAGCTCAAGAGTAGATGAAACCACTTCCTGACGGGAAGAGAGGCGGAAACACCGTTACAGCTGCTTCCCTTAACACAGGATGGGATACTATGGCTCCCAAAGTCCCAAAGGGAAAATTATCAGAAAAATTTCCAACTGGCATTAGGTAGCTTTACACATGTGACTAAATGCATAGTGTACATGGTAGTAACTGCAACAGCAAACCTCTCTTGCCACTGGCTTGAATTGTAAGTCCCCAGAAATATTCACAGGACAAGTTACAGGAGCTAGAGATTTTTTCTCAGATTATATTTTTTAATTTTATTTTTTTTTTCCTCAGGTTTTCTCATAAACCTCACTGTGATTCATCCTCTACCTCACTGGCCCTGCTGCAAAGTAGGACCATTCAGAGTGAGGGTAATTCAGGATAGAAGATTTTATTTTTGGCCCTTCTGAACTGGAATAACTCATGACACAATGGGAAAGCACTGTGACCCAGCAAACATTGAAACAGAGCTTTCCAAAGCAACTTGGCTTTTCTTGCAGGGTTAAGTTTCAAGCTGCTAGCTCCATTTTGCTAAAACCAGCTACTGAAATCACAATGAGGTCTCAAATCATCTAGCAAAGAAGAGTTTATCAGGTTTCATTCACTGCTTCAGCTCCACCTCTTTAGGACACACAGCTTGTGTTTGCCCCAGTGGGGATGAAGCATTTTTTCCTTTGTTCTCTCTGGATCACAGTCTGAATCCTGCAAGGCTCTATGATCACCACTGTCAAGTGCCTCAGTGATTTAGTAGCAGAGTCCTTTCTCCCAAAGATTTTTTTTTTCATTTGGATGGGGTTTAAGCAATCTGAGTTTATGTCCACAGTGAAAAATATTTCACGTCAGTACTACACTGGCAAAGAGCTCCTGTGTGGATGCATCTGCATCAGTCAAATAAGCCCTTTACAAGTGCTAAAAAACATCCACAAGCTGTGTTGCTGGTGTGAGCATAGGTGCCCTAGGAGCATTAGAGATTTCTGCCGTCACAGCTGTATCAGCCCTTGGTTTTGCCCAGACTGCAGTACACAGCTATACTGTCAAGGATCTGCATTATGGACTCAGAGAAGCACACTGACAGAGTAATATTAATTGCTAGGATTATCACTTTTTTCATAGTCATGGGTTTTGAGTCAGTTGGAATCTTTTTTTTTTTAAATTAAATTCCTGTCCTCAGAAGAGTTTTATGAAAGTTGAATCATTTTAGTGAAGCCTAAAGCAAAACAAAATATACAGACCCTATAGAATAAAATATAACCAGAAAATAAAATATAACCAGAAAATCTTGATTAAAATTTTCTCTGAGAAGGTTTTTTGTAATGCCATCATTGTTGTTGCCAAATTCTGTAATGCCAAAGTTTCTGAAAGGATGAAGCAAAATGAAACACAGAAAAAAAATTTGTTTTCAAAAATGAAAACATTTTGTCTCATGAAAATCTAAATTTGGTTATTTCATTGCATTAAGTAGTCTTCTATTCAGCTTCCAACTGCTTCAAAATGTTCAATTTCTAATTAATGACCTATTTGTGAAAGGGCTTATGGAAAGTACAGCTGAAGTCACTGTGCTCTCTTCAGCAATGCAGTTGTTTGAACACTGTAGTCTTTTCAGTAAAGTGCAACCTTTATATCACAACTTTAAGGCTGTAGGCTCTAGAGATTATACTAGACCCCTGAGGATTATAATTCAATAATTCCTACAGTCCACTGTCACAAAGATCTAGAGAAAACACTGTTTTCTCTTGGGTTACCCTTAAACATTTTTTAAGAAAGCTGAATATATTGAAATAACACACTTTACAAGTGCAGTTTTCTTATGCTCAGGGTCCAAAAATAATTCTGTCACAGTCATGATAAACCTTGTACTTTGTAGCGCTCCCTGAGCTCAAGCACAAACACCAGAACTACAGTCAGAGGCATGGTGCTGGCTCTCAGTGCAGCAGTGTGAGCACATCTCTATGTAAAAGCCTGTAGGAATACATTCCAAGGTCAACATCCCTCACCAAACATGACACAACAGCTTTCTAGTGCAGTTCAGTATGTGCAATTTGCCTGCATTTTTGCCTACATGGAAGCTTCCCGGCTCTTGAGATGTTCAAAATATATTTTCCACTTATTCCACAGTTTCCCTTCCTTCCACCCTCTAAACTTTTGTGGTTTTTTGGGTTTTTGTTTTGTTTTGTTTTGTTTTTTATGTTTTTTTGAGATAGAAGAAAAAAATGGAAAGTCTGACAACCCATCATCCAGACACACAGTTCTAGACCTGACCCTGAGCTAAGCTCAGTGCTTGTATCACCAAGGCTGTGGGTTCTATCCCTGTGCAGGGCATCCACTTAAGAGCTGGGCAGGTGGGTCCCTTCCAAGTCATTACATTCTTTGAGTGTTTATGGGTGTGATCAGACAGGTTAAGCTCTGAACTGACCTGAAGGATTCCTAGTTCCTCCTCATGGCTGTGTGTGTAAAGGGAAAGGACAGCATGCTGACGTCTTTGTCATTTTATCTAGAATGGCACAGGACCAATGCCCTGCTATTGCTGCTCCTGAGATTGCTCTCTGCTGACTTCCTGGATAAGACAAGGGTTCCATTTGCCCCATCACCTCCCTAAAAAAAGACCAGAATCCGACATTTAGGGCAGAAAGGATAGAGCTAACCACAGTATTATTGTCTATCCTGTATTAATTTTCTTTTTACTTCAAGTTTCTACATATTGCTACCAAAGACATTCAGAACCTGGGAAAAAAAAAAAAACAAAAAAAAACAAACCAAACCAAAACCAAAAACAAACAAACAAAAAAAAACCCAAGCAAACCCAACTCATTTACTCCTTCAGATTCCATGAAATTAGTGTAAATCTCTTCCAAACTGATAACAATTATGTGCTGAGTTCTCTTCTGGTTCTGATAAAATTGAGAGTGTATAGAGACTGTAAGAAGAGCAAATTATGTACTATTATGCAGTACAAATAGCATTTATAAAAATGAGGATTTTGGTGGTGTTTTATGGCATACTAATAGATATTTTCTAAAATTCTACCTCCCTTTCCTCAGAATAAAAGAACAAATGGCAATCAGTGAGATGGTAAGAAGGAAAAGCTGGAACTGGGTAAAACTTTTATTTTGGTTTAAAAGAATTCTACAGAACTCATTGTTATGGTTGAATACCCAAAACAATTTAGACATGCGTATGGACAAAAAACCCATATAGATCTACAGCAAAGAGTGTTAAAACACAGCTCAAGCAACTCTTTTAGAAAACATTGAAATATTTTGAGCTTCAGGCATAAACAAAGTCTTAAAGAAGGGGAAAAAGGGACCATTCATCAGGCAGATAATTAAATAGGGCCTCACTACAGTGTTTTTTGAACTTTGCTTTGAAGAAACTGGTGTTATTCACCGTTAGGGCTGTTCTTACATCAGAAGAACTGATCAGATTCTATACAGCAGTTCCCATGACACCATTAGCAAAACTGAAATGGCATATATTTCATAGGAAATTATTCCACCTGGTCTTCTAGCCTGGCATGAAAGCCAGGCTTCAGTAGCTGAATTTCAAACATTCAGGATTAAGAAATTCTGAAGCTGCTTTTCTAACTCTGCATGCTTCCAAAGTGTAGAAAAATTTAGTCACCCAATGAAATATGAATGAAATGTCATATCTTTACCTTGGGTTCATCTCCTGTAGATAGAAGATAAAGAACATTATAAAATGGTGGAAATAGAGTTAATAACAATCAAAGTATATTTTGAGAGTTTTTGAACAAAGCGACACTCCTAATTATTTGTGGACAATATGAGTGTTTGCACATCAACTAACTATATCCTAGAATAACATAGCTGGTAGATGGCTATTCACTGATTTCATTTTCTGCCTTCAGATTCCTTTCCTTTCCTCACCTCACCTCCCCTTCCCTTCCCTTCCCTTTCCCCTTTCTTTTCCTTTTCCTTTTCCTTTTCTTTTTTTTCTTTTTCTTTTATTTTTTTTCTTGTCTTTTCTTGGCAATTTATAAACGTAAGAAACATGTTCTTTTTTTTTCAGCAGACTAATATAGTTTCTTTCCACCAGTCTCTGGGAATATGCTAATTTTGAAACTGTAAAAAGAGTGTTGCTTTTTATTTTAAAAATATCCATTTTGATTACATCTCACAAGGAAACCAGGCCAAAAATCACTGAATGCCTATCAGGGTGGTTATAACAAATGGGGTATAAAAATGCTATTTCCAGGTGAAATGGCAATGCTAACATCCATGATATAGATAAAACTGCATAAACAGAAGACAATTCTGCATGTTTGGATTACAATAGAGATGGCATAACTATTCCTGTACAGGCATTCTTTTTGTGTGACTCTTCTCTGCTATCTCTATGAAGCTGCAATAGAGACATCAACATTTAAACTAATCAGCCTGGACTCCCTGCAGACTCAACGGAGGTGTAATTTATCTTCCCTGTTTCAGACACCTACTTCAGGATATCATGAACTGTGTCCTGAAAGAGCTAATATACAGTGCCATCCACTACACTAGTTGGTTATCTCAGACAGTCACCATCAATATCTTTTCAGCATATCCTACTTCTGACCATCACCCCAAAATGGCTTCAGCAGCAGTTTTGTAATGCAAATTTTTAAATCTAGCAGTGATAGTAAAAGATTTAAAACCATAGAAAATTCAGGAAGTTAGAAAGAAAGCTAGGCTTAGTAGGCCCTGGGAAAATGTTAAAAGTAGGCCCTGGGAAACATTAGGCCTTGTGTTTGCCAGATCATGTGAAATTGCACTTGTGTAACCAGTATATGATAAATGATATAATTGTTAGATGTGATGATTGTTTAGATATAATTATTGTTTAGTCATAAGAAGAATAATGAGAAACTATGTTCAAGGGTTTGAGGGGGGA